GGTGGACTATACCAGCATATGTACATATATACTAACGTCTCAATTTTGTAGAAAGGAGAAATAAAATCATAACAAGATAAGCCGGGATGTCTCCTAACAGCAGCCACCGCATGAACACAAATAAATTGATCCAATTAGAATTCACAACATGTCCATGTTTTGTCCTTTAAACTCATATGGACATGTTGACTTTAAATGCATAACAAAAAAATAAAAATATGCAATGGTTAATATGCAATTAAAAAAATTCATGATAGTCCAACAAAGTATGTAATGTGGATATTACCAGTGTCATAATTTGTAATGTGGTGATGAATATTACGAACCATTGTAATGTAAAGTGTCACAGTATGTAATGTGGTAATGTGTATTACAAAGAGTTGTAATGTAGACGGGGCAGATTGTGAATTGTGACACGGAAAGGAAAAAGAGGGCAAAATCGGGAGAGAAAGAAAGAATGTGGCGGGAGAGGTCCTATTTGGGGGATAAAAAACATGAACTCCTATTTTAGGGATAAGCACAATGTTTTAGTCCTATTAGGGGTGATTTCTAGAAAGGAAGAGACGGAGTGTCTTCCTCGAGAACCGCGTGAGGTTGAACCGTCGGAGGTGGCTTTAGCTTTGCCTCTCCTCAAACTTCGGTTCACGGCGCCCATATCCACGGACCTTCTACCGGACTTTCTCGACATTTTAATATATATATGTTTTGATATTAAAAAAATATATTACTTTTGGAAAAATTAAAAAAATTTCGAAATTTTATATATTAAAATTTCGAAAATTTCAATAAGTAATGGAGAATATACTTAAAATATAAATTATAATTTTTTTGATATTAAATAAAATAAAATATTAAATTTCAAAAAATATATAAAAGATAATAATAAGAATATAAGATTGAGATTTGAGAGATTGAGATTTGAGAGAATGATATACTGAGAGAATGAGAGATGGATTGAGTGATTTTTTTTTTTGAAAAAATGGGAGTATTTATAAGGTAATTTAAGGTTATCCCCCCCTCCCCCCCAATGCCTCAAACGGCTATTTAGCGTTGAGGCAGGCCCCCCTCTGTTTTTTTCGCAGGTGCAACGGCCATGAAGCAAAAACCAAAAAAAAAAAATTATATCGGTACCGGAACCGTACCGGTACCGTCGGTGCCGGTACCGAAAATTGGGTACCGGAACCGGTACCGAAGTAGGCGACGGCGTGACGGTGGCGGGTACCGGCAGTACCGTCGCCGGTCACGGTACCGAAACGGGTACCGTGTCCACCCCTTAGTTGTGACTACTACTCAATACTCCGTATATTATCCAATCCAATAATAAAAGAAAAGATATGCAGTGATTGGACCAACTACCCAACGATATTTCCAAAGTCAACCTGAAACGCACTCCTTTATTCCTGGGGAAATACCCACCGCTCTTTCCTCCCCCAGAGTGCTCGCAGACGAGACGACGCCGGAACATTTCCTCACCGGAGGTATAGCAAACGGAGGCGAGAATGTCCGAGCATCAAGTGTTCGTCGGCGCAATCGATCAAGGCACTACGAGCACCCGTTTCATCATCTACGACCGTTCCGCTCGACCCGTCGCATCGCACCAGATCGAGTTCACCCAGTTCTACCCTCAAGCCGGGTATCATCCATAGATTTCTCTAGATTATACTGCAAAACCTTTCATGGCCCCTTTAGATTTGTATTGTGTTGCTTGAATCATTTATATATCCTCTCTGATTTCAAAAACGGTTTTGGGGCAGATGGGTGGAGCACGATCCGGTGGAGATTGTGGAGAGTGTGAAGGCATGTATTGCTAAGGCGGTCGACAAGGCCACAGCCGACGGGCACAATGTGGATGGTGGTCTCAAAGCCTTGGGCCTCACAAATCAGAGAGAGACCACTGTGGTATGGAGCAAATCCACCGGCCTCCCTCTCTACAATGCCATTGTCTGGATGGACGCTCGCACTACTTCCATTTGCAGGTCTTGTTTTTTTATTACTCTAAACAGCATCTTTATTTGCTAAAATGCTCTTTGCCATGTTTGGTAAATTAGCATTTTGAAAATTAGCATACTAAGGTACATCCCTACATGACATTTTTTTACAAGTTCTTAGTCAAACCTGTCAATACAAACTGCTATTGTTGTTTGCCAATCCCGGGTTAGTATATTGCTTAAATGTAAGGGGCTTATTTGGAACCCGGAAAATGCAGGGGGGGGGCATAGAATGAGAGAATTGGAAAGAAGTAAATACCTGGGGGAAACATAGCCTGTGAGATCAAATTTATCTTTTTTCTGGTCTATGTCTCTGTCTAAGTGGCTTCCCTGCCAACATATTTGCAGTTCCAATCATGTACACATTTATTGTGTACTATTGCTTTAGCTTACTTTGTGACATTTTCATTGATGTTTAGTACTTCCTCCGTCCCAGAGAAGACTCCTTATTTCCTTTTTGGGACGTCCCAAAAAAAACCTCCCCTTTCTTTTTATGAAAAAACTTTGAATGGCTTACAATCTTTCTCTCTCCTCTACATCACTTTCAACCACACATTTTCACTATCCTAAAACTTTGTGTCAAGTCAAACTAGGAGCCTTTTTTGGGTCGGAGTATCATTTTATTGCTGTCTTTTTTGTTCATTTCTAATTTGACCTTGGGATTGAGTAAAACTTACCTGCTCAGAAAACTGGAAAAGGAATTGGCTGGTGGGAGAACTCATTTTGTTGAGACATGTGGTTTGCCCATAAGCACGTACTTCAGTGCGATGAAGCTGCTATGGCTATTGGAGAACGTGGACGCTGTCAAGGAAGCAGTAAAGAAAGGGGATGCGCTATTTGGAACGGTCGATACCTGGTTGATTTGGAACATGACCGGAGGGGTGGAGAATGGCTTACACGTCACTGATGTGTCCAATGCATCAAGAACTATGTTGATGAACCTCAATACTTTGGAATGGGACAAGCCAACGCTGGATGTATTGGGAATCCCTCCTGAGATTTTGCCGAAAATCATTAGCAACTCAGAGATCATAGGGAACATTGCCAAGGGATGGCCAATCACAGACATTCCCATATCAGGCTGTCTTGGAGATCAACATGCTGCAATGGTAGGGCAAGCTTGTCAAATAGGTGAAGCAAAGAGCACTTATGGAACTGGTGCATTCATACTTCTTAATACAGGTGAGGAGACAATCAAATCAAACCATGGACTTTTGAGCACTTTGGCTTATAAGCTGGGGCCAAATGCTCCTGCGAATTATGCATTGGAGGGGTCAATTGCCATTGCTGGTGCAGCTGTTCAGTGGCTAAGGGACAGTCTCAACATAATCAGCAGTGCAAGTGAGATAGAGACACTGGCATCTAAGGTTGATTCGAGTGGGGGAGTTTATTTCGTGCCTGCATTCAATGGGCTGTTTGCTCCATGGTGGCGCGACGACGCCCGAGGAGTTTGTATTGGAATCACAAGGTTCACAAACAAGTCTCACATTGCCCGAGCCGTTCTTGAGAGCATGTGTTTTCAAGTAAGAGATGTGTTGGAGTCGATGCATAAAGATGCTGGGGATAAAGGTGAGGTTAAGAATGATCGCGGAGAATTCATTCTGAGAGTTGATGGTGGCGCTACCGTTAACAATCTTCTAATGCAGATTCAGGTATTCATTATGTCACCCTCTTAACTATAAAATCTAAGGCCCCGTTTGGTACACGGAATTCAAATTGTGGAATCGGAATTGAGGACTTTGATTCCAATTCTGGTGTTTGGTAGCACAAATATTATGTGGATTTTGGAATTGATAATGCAAAAAATGAATTGAAATTGGTGAATTCAATTCTACGGAATTGAATCCTATGAAATTTTCATTCCAATTCAATTCTAATTCCATCAATTTCGTATACCAAACGGACCCTAACCTTTAAGGGTGGAGGGTATTACAGTAGTTGTGTAGGACCTTTGGGCTAGGTTGTAGTTTTTTGTACTTGTTGTTGTGTGCTTTGTATCCCTCGCAAAGTTGCATGCTTTGTGTTCTCTGATTGTAGTACTTTTCCCTTTAGTCAACTCAGTTATATCGACAAACTCTTAAACTCACCGATTTTCTCCTTTTCTTTTTGCACTAAAAGAGGAGAGACGGTGTTACTCTCCTTACCAAATTGTCACATAAGTAAATTTTGCTACCACATAGAGTTTGCCCCCGTCGTCGACCCCAAGGGTTCCTTTGTTTTTATAACCAAACATGCCATATAAATTCTATGTAAATTATCCGTCATGCTTATGAACAAGGGCTTGTAGGCGGATTTGTTAGGTAGTGCAGTGGTGAGGCCAGCGGATATAGAGACGACAGCGCTTGGGGCTGCTTTTGCTGCCGGATTAGCCATCGGAGTATGGACTGAAGAGGAAATATTTTGTTCTTCCGGCGAGAAAATGGAAAAGGCCACCGTTTTCCATCCAGTGATCGATGATGAGTTGAGGAAGAAGAAGGTGGATTCTTGGTGCAAAGCTGTTGAGAGAACTTTTGACTTGGCCGATCTCTCTCTGTAATCAATTTATTCATAAATGACAGTCTCTCTTATTTTCTTCTTCTTAGCGTTTTTTTGTTTGTTTACTTATTCATAGATTACTGCTACATTTTTCTTGTAACTCAAAAGTATAAGAGAAAAAAAAACCCCCCCGACCAATAAGCTAAGGAATACCTGCAGCAACCTCTTTTTGGGACAAAAGTAAGTTAAACGATGAAAATTGTTGACAACCAATTGGTCAGATATAAGTGAAATTTGCGGTAAATAGTATTAAAACATATGTCTTTTCCCAATGTAATACTTAAAACTTTTTAATTCTTAATAGTAATTGAATAATGTGCAGTAGCTGAAATAATGTTCAGTAGTGGTGAACATTTACTTGAACAATCTTTAGTGGACATTGAACAACGATACTATATTGGAAAATTAAAACATATGTTACCACATTGGAAAACTCACTATATTTTAGTACTATATAGAAATTCTCCCGGATATAATTGTTTTTACCCATTACTTCCAGAATTATTTGACATCAACTCTAATTGCCCAATTAGTTATCATCAATGAGTGATACATTGGTGCAATGTCAGCATATGTTATCCCATTCTCTGTTTTGGTTTGTTGCAAAATGTTGGTCTCATACCATATTTGATCATATAAGTGTCACCCAAATACAATAAATTTAATACCAGTTCCGACAACCACATTTGATCATATATATGTGTCACCCAAATTGATCCAGCAACACAAGTGAGGTCTCACACATCATGACTCATAGTTGGACAAACACATGAAGTTCATACCATTTCATCATATGCCGGGAAGCCATAGCTTAGAGAAATGATCTCAAGGCATCGACAACTTTTTCGGGCCTGCGTTTACAGAAATAATTGCTGTTACAGTTGACAACAAATACATGAATCGAAAACTGCACTATTTAATTACCAGTCTTCTTGCGGCATATGGCCTGCACCTTCAATCAGTTTAAGCTTGACAAATTCGGGATTTCCCCTTTGAAACTCTTCAGCCACTGATTGTGGAAGATACTTATCTGATATTCCCCAAGTCACTAGAGTTGGTTTATCCCAACTGAAACAAACCAGAATTCCGAAGCAGATTTAACACTAGTATATATTACGATGTCCCACAATTATTCCAACTTTTTTTATGTTTTTTTTTATCCCGGGATCTTTTGACGGGGGTGGGAGGTGGGTTCAGGTCGGGACGGAGTGCAGAGGTTTACCGGCAGGGTTGGGGGGGCAAGAACCATCAATTTTTTGAACAGAGTTTAACACCATAGTCAACTAAATCTTGTAGGGTGCAATTGACGGGGGTGGGGAGGGGTTCGGGTCAGGCCGGGGTGAGAAGGTTTACCGGCGGGGTTGAACCATCAGTTTCTCAAATAGAGCACCATAGGGACCCCAAACGGGGCCCATGTAATATGATGACAAGGGGGGCTGATGTCATGGGAACGCCCCTCATATTATTAATAGAAACATAAGTTACAAGAATAACTAGAGAATACCCATCACTTTAAATACTCTGTAACTCACAAATTTTAAGATTAATATCCACTTTAAAAACAGTTCCTATATTATAGGCAAGATAACAAGAATATGAACAGTACCTCCCAGAGGCAAAACCAGATGATATCTGGCTTTGGATGTCCTTGAAATTAGCTCTCTTTACCGCATCAAGTAGAGCTGAAGCTCACAACATTATTGTCATTGCACAAAAAATGCCTCGTCCGCAATTTGAATATAGATGGACATAAAATATCTTAACGTTCTATGATTTAATCAACTCAAATGAAATTACTTAGTTAAATACAACTCCACTAGTCACTGCTAGACAAGCAATGGTTAAATGTGCAAAACCAAATTAATGGAAAAGTAACAGTAAGAATGACAGTTACCAAAACCAGGACCGCTGCTCGACAAATACGGTAACCTGTACACATCAGCCTTCTCCAGTTTTAGGACATAACTGCCATCAAATTAAGTTATTTAGTGCAATGGGAACACATATAGTATGTATTCCTACTTCCTAGTAAGAATCAAGAATTGGCTTCTGCATTATGAGTCATCCACGATAAAGGATTATTTTATTTTAGGTTGAACACAATGATCTATGGATAGTCTCAACAAAGATTTTTTTTAAATGTTTAAAGATATTAGTGTTGATACATACGGGCTACCTGCTTCGATGAAGCGCTCTGCCATTACTGCATTCTGGCAAGTAAATTCACCCAAGAATGGAATTCTAATTCAAAATGAATGAAATTGATAGAAATGTTAACACATTAAGAGCAAATTCTGGACATTAACAATTTGTTCATGCTCACAAGTGACAAAGCTGCTTGGCAACATGAAAATTGTCTTGGGAAACAATGGTTCAATGCCATGAGATGTCCATATTTTTCTTGGGTTTCAACAACCAAGAGGCGTATAATTTCTTAAAGTATTAACTTCGCATTTGTAAAACACTATTTTGGTTTACAAATTATAGGAATTACAAATTATTGATTAATTCGCATTATAATGCCACCGACCAAACCAGCTGGGATGATTATGGTGCGGATAATGATGATGATGATGATGATGAATGTTAATACCATCCAAATTGACATAATGAGTAGATCATCCATTTCAGAGATACATGTTTCGCAAAGCTGATTTTGAATAATTTACAAGAAATTCTTACTATACTTTTTCGTGCCAATAATTATCTTTTAGTGATGATGATATCACAATCTGCAAATATACAAGCTGCGGGCAATTAATTTAGATCCATAGTTAGGTTTGTCCTTGAGAGGATTAAAATGGTGCATTTCCTTTCATCTCTTTAGAGTTATTCCAAATGCAAGGCACCAAGAAGTAAAATCATTTCAGCAGCAGCACAAAAATCAACTGAAAGAAGATGAATGCAATGCCAGTAAAGCTATCAAGTTATGGTCCTTTAATTCAATGCAAACTATCTGTATGCTTGCAGAACATCA